GAGAAGGAGAAGAGAACAGTATGAGAAACAGGATCCTGGTGGACGAAAGGGAAATGCAGAACGTAGTGATGAGTGTGATGACGACGGGGTCGCTGATGATGGTAGAGATGACTGTGATGGCGGTGGTGGTGATGGTGTCAACGATGAGGAGAAGGGGGAAGAGGACGGCCGTCACATGTGCCACGTTCCGTTTTCACTCTTCGAAGAGGCACCATGAAGCTCATTTGGGCCCTCTCGGGGCTGTCCTGGGCTTATGTTGGGCGGTCTTGGGGGTCATTGGTTCACTTCGCGCAGTCTTGGGGCCCTCTTGGGCCGTTTTGGGGCTCTCCTGGGTCGTCTTGAGGCCCTCTTGACCGTCTGGGGGGGTCTCCTGCTGCCACCTTGGGCCGTCAAGGGGCTCTCTACGGCCGCTTTGGACCCCGGAAACCTTCACGGGCCAGTTTGGGGTTCTCTTGGGGCTGTCCTGGACCGTCTAGGGGCCCTCCCGGGTCGTCTTGAAGGCGCATTCGAGAAATATTTGGCAATTCGGGCGTTTGGGTGCCGTCTTGGGGCCATACTGAAGGCCTCTCGGGCCGCTTGGAGCTGAAGGAAGTCCGAAGAAGTGACGACACCCGCTTCTGTCAAAAACCTAAAGAATATCAACGACCTTGGATTATTCGGACCATACTGGGTGCCCCTCCCGTGGTCCCCTTGGGCCGTCTTGGGGGCCTCTTGGGCCGTCTTGACGCAAGTGTGTGACGTATTGGCAACATTGCGTCGTCTTGGTCTTGGTCGACTGTCTGCGCCGGATCCATTGCTTGTATCCAGGATCGTGGCCTCGGGAACGCAGATCCATTTTTTTTACCAGGGACCGTAACCGTGGGAGCGCGAATCAACGAATTGTTGTACGAAGAGTCGTGGCTTCAGGGAAGCGGATTTGCTTACTTTTCAAGACAGATCGTGGCCTCGGGAGTGCGGATCCATAGTTTTTCACGGAGCATGCGGAAGTCTGGTAGCAGAGGGGGAGGCGCAGAAGATGTAAAGAAAGTCTGCCAGACAGCACCGTCAGGAGTGGCAAGATACTTGTTTTCAAGCTTAGGCGATAACGCTGGTTACTGGGGCCATCCCCCCTCCAGTAATGTCATGATTCGCGTGGGCGCCGTTTTGGGAACGGCCAGGAACAACGAGGGGCAGCTGAATTGACCAAGAAGGTGAGGAACTGCCACGCAACCTGGTGTTCACTGGCCCAGTGCCAGTGATAGCAGGCAAATGGCGGTGATGGCAGGCAAAGTGTGGTGCTGGCGGGATCTAGCATACGGTTGTTCATACGTGTGGCGCTTGCAAGCGAATGTGGTAATAGTAAGGTCGAGCTTCGCTCACAGTCCGGCGGTTGCAATCACAGTGCGGCGTGCGTTCGCAGGGATATTGTGTTCACAGACACGTGCTGATGCTCGCAGGCACACCGTGGTGCTCACGAGAGAAAAAGGAGGGATGAGGAGGGAGGATGGTGGCGGGGCAATGCCCGAGTTATTGATTTGATTACAATCATATTGTCGAATTTTGCCCCTGGAGGATTCCGGACTTCATGGAGGAGGAAAATAAGAAAAAATACGAGCAGGAGGACCAGGTGGAGGCGGGGCTGAGGGCTCGGAGCAGGGCAATGAAGAGGGAGGAGAAGGAGAAGGAGGAGGAGGAGGTGGAAAGCACGAGGAGGAGAGGGGGGAGGAACGGGTGGAAGAGAACGAGGAGGAGGAGGACCAGGATAACCAATGGCTATGAGGAAGGATGAACGGGACAAGGAGGAGGAGGAGGAGGAGGAAGAGGAGAGAAGGAGGGCAGAGGAAGAGAGGAGTGAAGATGAGGGAAGAGGAAGGAGAAAGGCGGGGCCATGCCCAAATGATTTGCGTACGGCGCCCCCGGCCCCGAGACAGAAAGGTAGCCAGCCTCGTCGTCGCCGTTCTCGTCGTCGCCCTCCTTCACGTGAACATGTTTGTGAACGCCACACTGCGCCTGCGAACACCCTGAGACCCCTGTGAGCACCGCAATATCTTGCGAGCACCACGGCATGCCTTTGAGCGGCGTTCGGGTGTTACCGTTACGGGGGGGAGGCGGGATAACATGAGTTGCAGTTGGGATAGAAAAACGCGTCATTCACCCGCCGCATTGATAAACAATGAACAAATTACACGTTCAGGAGTTTGTGATGGTATTCCCTGGAATGTGAAGGGGCCCTGCAAAGTGTTACCCCCGCTCAGATATAAAAGTACATGACCAATGACATACAATGGCAATGAGCACCGAGTGGGACGTCGTCGCCGAGCTGCCACATCCCATATCCAGCGTCAAATGCCAGCGTCGACAGAAAAGACAAGTTCATTTTCAGCCCCCGAGGAACCACACGCGCATTGCACTGGCGTGGTTATTAATCAAACGTGTTATCGGAGGTTGGGGGGTGAGATCGCAGTGAAACGGAGACCCCCCACCGGGAAATCGGTTTCGGTTTCGTGTTCGTGTCGTGCGTGCGGGCGAGGCGAAGCTGCGCGTGATCCTCCTGCAGCTAGGCGCTAGGCCGAAGTAGGAGCGAAATTCCGTTCCCGTCCGCCGGTGGCTGGGAGGTGTCCCAGGTGGGCTGGGCGGTTTCCCGGGTGTCAGTAGGAGCGCAAGTTCGTTTCCCGTCCGCGGGTGGACGGGAGGTGTCCCAGTTGGGCCAGGCGGTGTCCCGGGTGTCCCCGGAGTCCCGGGCGTCCCGGCGCTAACGCATGTCGCTAATTCCATAATTAATTTTCTTCGGCGCCTGCGGCGGGCTTTCTTATCTAATACAGCTGATCTTATCCAATCCATCTTGTCCAATCCAATCCATCTTATCTTATCCAACCCATCCTGTCCCATCTTATCTTATCCCACCCAATCCAATCCACCCAACCCAATCCATCAATTCACTTGTTTCTGCGCCTGCGGCGGGCCAATCCAATCCATCTTATCTAAACGAATACATCGCTTCAGCTCTACCCGCCCTCCCAGGAGCTGGTGTCCGCCTACCGCAACGGAGTGCTCCTCCTCACCTCGGGGCCCAGGAACGCCATCTCCTACAACGTCGCCACGAAACTTACCCGCATCGGATTCGCCACTGAATTCCTGGAGCTCGACGCGGTCGCGAAAGCCACTGCCCTTCGGTATCTCTTGAGATCTGGGCGGATCTTTGGGCTTCTGGATTCGCTGGAGGCCTCTCGTTCAGACGCCGAACACATTCCGTATAGGTGGCTTCGTGGATGGCATGCTGAAGGCCTCTTGGGATATTTGAGGGCGGTCAAAATGTGGTATTGCGGGCTCTCCCTTGACATCCCTTCCTCTTCGAGCAAGTTACAACATCGACTATCGGGCGTTTCGAGAGCTAGAGACCAGTGAGAGTATCGAGTCCATCCTCCTTCGGCGTGCCCACCACTTTTGCCCTGAGGTCACCCGTGAGCATATCGTCATCCTGAAAGAGAACATAAAAAGAGTGTGCAAATCAACGAGTATGTATGTTGGCATGGCTCCCTTTCGTTTGCTGACTGGATCTATCTGCACGAGCTCCCGATTTCACTCAACCCCAAAAGGGTGTCTATTCGGGTGCCAGACCGTCGACGGAGTCGACAACGATTCGCTTCGCCATTATTCTTCTTGTCCGAAGCTGGAATCACCTCTCAGGAGATGGATGGGGAGACATATTCGAGTCTATCAAGGTGAGCGCTCATTCCATTGGTTTCCCTCTTGCCTCCTCCTCGCATTTGACGATGTTGCTGGTCTCCTCCGTCGTGCTTCCTGCATGGTAGCCTTTCTTGCGGCCCTGAACGCCCGTCGAGTTGGGCGCTCTGCCGCTGCTGAACAGGTGTTTGAAGCCCGTCTGCGTGTGCTGGCCCGCCGCCACCCAGCGCTCGCAGACGTTTGGTGTGATGCAAGTGTTTGGGTCACTCGCCGTCTGGTGAGGGAGGGGGCCCCGAGAAGGCGAGCGCTGCCGCCGCGGGTGCACGGCACCCCGCGCGGCAGGTGGGAGCTCTTCTCGGATGGTCAACCACCCCCTTGCCGCGGCGGAGTGCGGACTGCTCGACCAAGGAGTGTCGACCGCCTTGCGCAGGGACTCCAAGAAGCCTGAGAGCCCCCCAGCCCGCCGTTGCTTGAGCTCTTCTGCGCCGCCCCCCTTAGCAGCCAGTTGCCGGTTCGTCCGAGGCTGGTCTGCGTGGGGGGAGCGCGCGCGCGCCGGCACCGTTTTCTGATTTATTCTGCGCATTGCCGTGGCGCAAAAAAAAATCTTATCTAAACGAATACATCTCTTCCAATCATACCCATCTTATAGTTTCCTATCTATTTTATCCCACCCGATCCAACCCACCCAACCCAATCCATCAATTCATGTTTGCCGGCGCTTGCGGCGGGCTTTCTTACCCAACACAGCTGATAATCTCCGATCCACCTGGTCCAATCCAATCCATACGATCTGATCCAACCCATCTTGTCCAATCTTATATTACCCCACCCAATCTAATCTATCCAACCCAACCCATCAATTCATTTGCTTATGCGCTTGCGGCGGGCCAACCCAATCCATCTTATGTAATCTAATACATTCCGTCCAAGCAAACCCATCTTATCTTATCCAATCTATCTTATCCCGTCATTAAAATCCACCCAACCCAATCCATCAATTCATTTTTGCCGTCGCCTGGGCGCAACAGGGTGGGCATTTGATACTAATCCCCCCCAATTTCCTTATTGCCCGCAGGGTGGTCGTATAGGTATGCATGTCCTTTTGCTGACCACAAGACGCTTGCCGATGATTGTGCCGTATGCGGAAGTGCACTTCCGTGGGTCGCGATCATCTGGGCGATCAGGAAAGGACCCAGAATGTATCGTGTACAGGGAGTGTTGGTCGGTGTAAAAACAAGCATTTGGGAAAATGTGTTCTCGCAGCGTTGCTGGTCATGTGCATGTGCTCTGGTCATGCCCCCGAACTACCTGCCCGTGCATTTCGCTCCCGCACAGAGGAGCCAGCGCGCGATGGCACCCCAGACGCCAATGAGGTGGCCCGTGCCACTTGTGTTGCCGAGGTCGAGCGCAAGAATGCTAACGATCGCGGGGGGACAGTCTTTCACTTGCGGCCAGTGGTTTGTGGTACTTGTTTGTACGTGCTGCATGTTGTAGCCACAGGCATTTCGGTATCAGATTGTTCTTGGCAGTGCGACGGCTAACCGCCAGAGGCGTCGCACAATCTTGCAGGCGGTCTGGGAAAGGATCTTGGTCTCGAGGCGGTCAGTGCATTCGACAGCCGCTCGGCCGTTCGAGGAACTGGAGGTCTGGATCGTTCGGTCGCGATCGTCCCGAGGGGCACCATATGTTTTTCGTGATGAGAGTGGCCAGAAGGAAACGTACCTTGCTGGCGCGTGGACCCCCAACAGCCAATGTGTGTAACAAGGGTAGACCCTTTTAAATCTAGAGCCCAATGTGGAGCGCCGTGTTGGTGAAATCCCATCCGTATTGGACCTCATGCGCTTGTGATGTCTTGCGGGTGCTACCATATACGTGCGGAACCCAGTGCGCGCGTGTGAAACTTTATTTGTTGAACCTATGTGGGTGTGGAACCCCGTGTGTGTGTGTGGTTGTGTCTGTGGCTGTGTGTATGCGTGTGTGTGTGTGGTTGTGTATGTTGTGTGTGTGTGGTGTGTGCTGTGTATGGTGTGGTGTGTGTGTGTGTTGTGAGTTGTATGTGGTGTGCGTGATGTGTTGCGTGTTGTGTGTTGTGTTTATGTGTTGTGTATCATGTGTGTGATGTGTGTATTGTGTGTTGTCTGGTGCGTGTGTTGTGTGCGGTGTGTGCGTGTTGTATGCGGTGTGTGGTGTGTGTTGTCTGTTGTGTGTGTTGTGTGCGGTGTGTGCGTGTTGAGTGTGTTGTGTGTTGTGTGTCATGTGCGTGTCTTGTGGTGTTTTTTGTGGTGTGGTGTGTGGTGTGTGTGTGTGTTATTTGTGTTGTGTGTTGTGTGCGGTGAGTGTTGTGTGGTGTGTGTATGTGTAGTGTGCGTGGTGTGTGGGTTGTGTGCTGTGTGGTGTGTGCATTGTGTGTTGGTGTGTTGTGTGTTGTGTGTTGTTTGTGTGTTGTGTGGTGTGTGTGTTGTGTGCTCTGTTTTGTGTGTGGTGTTTGTGTGTGTTGTGTGTGTCTTGTGTGTAGTGTGTTGTGTATGGTGTGTGTTGTGCGTGGTGTGTGTGCTGTGTGGTGGGTGTTGTGTGTGCTGTGTGTGCTGTGTGTTGTGTGTTGTGTGTGATTGTGTGTGGTGTGTGTCTGGTATGTGTTGTGTGTGTTGTGTTTTGTGTGTTGTGTGGTGTGTGTTTTGTGTGTGCTCTGTGTGTGGTGTGTGTTGTGTGTTGTGTATGTTGTCTGTGGTGTGTGTTGTGCGTTGTGTGTGCTGTGTGAATTGTGTGTGGTGGGTGGTGTGCGCTGTGCGGTGTGTGTGTTGTGTGTTGTGTGCTGTGTGCAGTGTGGTGTGTTTGCGTGTTGTGTGTTGTGTGCTGTCTGTTATGTGGTGTGTGTATGTGTTGTGTGTCATGTGTGTGCTGCGTGTGGTGTGTGGTGTCTGCTGTGTGTGGTGTGTGCGATGTGTGTGGTGTGGTTGTTGTGTGTGGTGTGTGGTGTGTGTGGTGTGTTGTCTTGTGGTGTGGTGTGTGGTGTGTGGTATGTGTGGTGTGTGGTGTGTGCGTTGAGTGGTGTGTGTTGTGTGTATGTGTGGTGTGCGTGGTGTAAGGACTGTGTGCTGTGTGGTGTGTGCATTGTGTGGTTGTGTGTTGTGTGCTGTGTGTTGTTTGTGTGGTGTGTGCTGTGTGCTGTGTGTTCTGTGTTGTGTGTGTTTGTGTGATGTGTGTGGCGTGTGTGTTGTGTGTTATGTATTGTGTGTGGTGTGTGTGGTGTGTGCGTGTGTGTGTGGTGTGTGTGTTGTGTGTGCTGTGTGGTTTGTGTGTTGTGTGTTGTGTGTGGTTATGTGTGGTGTGTGTCTGGTGTGTTGTGTGTGTTGGGTTGTGTGTGTTGTGTGGTGTGTGTTGTGTGTGCTCTGTGTGTGGTGTGTGTGTGTTGTGTGTTGTGTATGTTGTGTGTGGTGTGTGTTGTGTGGTGTGTGTTGTGTGTGCTGTGTGAATTGTGTGTGGTGTGTGTTGTGCGTTGTGCGTTGTGTGTTGTGTCTGGTGTGCTGTGTGCTGTGTGCTGTGTGTTGTGTGCTGTGTGCTGTGTGTTGTGTGTTGTGCGTTGTGGGTTGTGTGTTGTGTGTTGCGTGTTGTGTGGTGTGTGGTGTTGTGCTGTGGGTTTTGGGTTGTGTGTTGTGTGTTGTGGTGTTGTGTGTTGGTTGTTGTATGTTGTTGTGGGTTGTGGGTTGAGTGTTGTGTGTTGTGTGTTGTGTGTGCGTGCGTGCGTGTGTGTGCGCGTGTGTGCGTGTGTGTGGGTGTGGGTGCGTGCGTGCGTGCGTGCGTGCGTGCGTGCGTGTGTGTGTGTGTGTGCGTGTGTGTGTGTGTTCGTGTGTCTGTGTGTGTGTGTGTGGGACCGTCTGTGTGTGGAACACACTGCGTGTGGAGCCACGCTTTGGTGGAATTCCACCCGTGTGCAACCTCATGCGTGTAGAACCCCATGCACATAGACCCCCATGTGTGTTTGTGTGGGCCCAACGGGCTTGGAACTCGACTTCTGTGCTAAGCCATGGTTGTGTGGATTGCCCATGTGTACGTACGCATGTGGAATATCTTGATTGTGAAACTTCATTTGTTTGGAGTCCCATATGCGTGGAGCTCCATGTGTGGTGGGGCTTGGGGGCGATATATGGAGCCTTGTGAGTGTGGAGCATTACTTGTGGAACCCTGAGCCCACGCACAAACCTGCGTCCAAACCTACGTCCATGCTGTTGTCCAAGCCCACGTCAAAACACACGCTGAAACCCCCGTCCAAACTCACGTTCACACCCATGTCCAAACCAACTCCCAGACCCACGTCCACAGCCATGTCCAAACCCACGCCCAAACCCATGTCCAAGCCCAGTCAAACCCGCGTGCAAGCGCACGTCCAGACCCATGGGGCGACAAGGGCCCGACCTCTGCCGACAGTGCCAATCATCAGTTTAACAATAAAGTGGACACCCTCAGCGCAAACACTCATTAGGACAAGACTCAGGCGCGTGAACACTTCAGCCCCCTCGACCCAGGCCATACCTGAGTCTGGTTGGGAGCGAAGTGCCGAGCGAAAGCAACAGAAACGGTCCAGAGGTAGAACGCTGGGGCATCCTGGGGCCCAGGAGGCGGCCTCGATGCTTATCATATCCTGGGCATGGGGTTTTCAAAAATGGAGGCACCCCTCTACTTCCACCTCCTCATTCCCCCTTCGTTTCATCTTTATTCTCCGCGCCACCTCAGACCCACCCACTCTCACTCACAGTCGCACTCGTTTGATACTTGCGCATTCACCAAATCTCACCCAGAAGCACATGCTACCACTTGGACCCATGCCCCCACCCGCACCCACAAGACAACACCCACCCACACCCATTCGCCCATCATCACGTAGACTCCGGGAGAAGGCGTCCAGAGGCTCCCCGCCGCCTCCGGAGATCGTCAGGAGTCTCTGGGGCCGGTCGGCTGCGAGGCGCCCGAGCGACTGCTCGCCAGCCGGCCGCCATGCTCCTGGCGCTTGACGGAGGCTTCCGAGGGCTCCTGGCGCCGAACGGAGAGTACCCTCTCAGATGCGCCCATGGTCAGTCATGGTTCCGCTCAAATGTGACCAGACGCCCACTCCCACTCTTGGCAGCATGCTCCTCACCCAGGCCTTCAAAGGGGGGCGACCAGGAGATGGTCACGGGGCCATTCGTGCCCAGATTGGAGGGACCTCTTGGGTCGAACGCCCGTTTGGTGACGCAGACGCAGCTTTCATCAGGGCCTCATGGCCACCTCGTGCCAGCAGACGCCGCTCACAGGCCCGTTAGCACCCAGATGGGTTGGATATATCGGATAGAACGCCCGTTTGGCGACGGAGGTGCGTCCCCCACAGGTCCTGACGACTACTGCATGCTGGCAGGCACCGCACCAGGGCATCCCAAAGGGTTCGCGGCCATATCGGTGAAACGCTTGTTGTGTCGCAGGCACGTGTCTCATCATAGCGTATTAGACTAGCCACCGCGTCCTAGCAGGCACCGCGCTTGGGCGGTCAGTCACGAGCCTGTTAGCGCTCAGATTGCTGGGACGCTTGTCTGATGCGTGTCCATCATCAGACACCCTGGCCTCCCAAAGAGGAGTTTGCCGTGACGTAGACGTCTCTCATCAGAGACTCAGGACCACCGCGAGCTAGCAGACAGCGCACCTTGGCGTCCCAAGGATGGGTCGATCAGAGGCCCGTGTTTCGCCCAGATTGGTGGTGCCTCTCGGGTAAAACGCGGGTTTCCTGACGTGGCGCTGCACCCAGCCTCCAAGAAGGGGTTCGGCCACGAGTGTTTCACCGGCCCTTCGGCACGCAAGGTGGTGGGACCTCCCAGGTAGAACGCCAGGTTGGTGCTGCAGGGGCGCTTCTCATCGGTGGTTCACGACCACCATGTGCTGGCAGGCCCCGCGCTGTGGCGGTTAATTGCGGGCCCCCTGGCGCCCAAGTTGGTTGGAGCTCGCGGGTCGAACGCCGGAGTGATGGCATAGACGTGCATTTGCCATGACCACCGCGTGATAGCAGGCACCTCACTTTGGTATCCCAAGGAGGGGTCGGCCACGGGACCCGTTAGCGCCCAGATTGGTGGGACCTCCTAGATCGAACGCCGTTCGATAACGTAAACGTGGTCATCACTTGTACTTCATGACCACCGCGTGCTAGCAGGCGCCGCGCCCGGGCATCCTGAAGGAAGAGTGGGGGGGATCACGGGTCCGCTGGCGCCCAGATTGATCGGACATCTCGTGTCGAACGCGGGTTCGGTGACACAGACGCGTCTCTCGTCAGAGCCTTATGACCACCGCGTGTTAGCAGACAGCGCACTTTGGCCTCCCACAGGGGGGGGGTCGATCACGTGCCCGTTGGCACCCAGATCAGTGGGCCATCTCAAAGAGAACGCCTCGTCTGTGACGCAGGCGCGTCTCTCGCAGATCCTCAAGATCACTGCGAGCTAGCAGGCACCGTGCGCACTTTGGCTGTCCCAAATGGCGGTCGGCCACGGGTGGTTCACGAGCCCATTCGCACCCAAATAGGTTG